AAGTCTAGCGATTCTAAAAATATATACTTTCCTGGGTCTATTTGTAGTCATTTGGTCACAATTAGAAGATGAAAACAAGTAAGCAAATAATAGTCCCGCTACCTTAACATTGTATAGTCTAACATCGCAAACCTGTCCATCTGTATGTATTTTGCATACACAAACCTGGCTTCATGCAACATGTGTATCTTTTATAATGAATATCTGGTACACGTATGGTTTCTCTTGGTAATGGAGTAAAATTACAACATGCATAAGTGTAAAAATCTGCTAGCTAGGCTATGAAATAATTCTTACTCTGGCTGTACTATAATACATGTATAGTATATTTTTCTAAATTTAACATATACATGTACAAACATGTATTATGACAAACCTTGTGACGTCAGAGCAAATTGGAAACTGACTTCACACACTACTTTGTCTTGAATGAGGACTAGACGTGTTGTGTTTCAATTTATTCATTGTAGCATTTATCTATGTTACTAATGTTGGGCATTTTCATGTTACACAATTTATTTAAGTATAGTTATATCGCATGCTGTAATCTTCCATGAATAGCTGGTAGGATTTGTAAATAACTCTATCAGTAGATGATGTGTTTAAAGCATACTAAGGTAGCTTTAAGCCTGCTTGAATGTGGCGAAATGTTAAGTTACGCTTGGACTACAAGTGTTGGTTTTTATCTCATATTTGAACAATGGCAATTTGTGTAAATTCAGTTTATATGTGTTGGTTGGCAACTAATATCTTAAGTTTTCAATTTTCAGCAATTACGACATGAGAATCTCGTCAATCTTATAGAAGTATTCCGACGAAAAAAAAGGTTATATTTAGTTTTTGAGTTTGTAGACCACACAGTATTAGATGAACTTGAACGGTATCCAAGCGGATTAGATGAACATATGTGTAGAAAAGTGCTATGGCAAGTTTTAAAAGGAATAGAATTCTGTCACAATCACAATGTAAGTAAAAACATTTCTTACAATGCATCTGTCTATATTTTTATTCAGAAAAAAAGAAAACTGATTACAGCATTGGTAGATCTCTGATGGTCACTAAAACTGTAG